TCTGAAACAAGACCTGGTGTGACTAAAGCGGTGTAAGCTCGATGGTTTTATTGAGATGACATCTAAAAGGTGAGATCTTGGCCTTTATGAAGCTAGCAGCAGAGCTCCTGCTGCCTCTTTTGGAGCTGGTGTTTCATGAAATATGCAGAAATGGCAGTACGTGCTGCTGAAGGGCCGTCTGCACTGATGTGTCAATATGCCTGGTAGTGCTGCATAGCAGTTTAAATAAGGGAATGGTATGGTATTCACTTAGAAATATTCCCAGTACAGACAGCTGGATGAATGTACCTAGACTGGTTTTTCTGTTAGAGCAGTGTATTCAGAAAAAGCATCTCTCTGAGTTTCACTTTCAAAATTTTATCGAGCTTTCTGAAGTTCCATAATGTTCTTATCAAAATGCCTCAAGTCATGAAGCACTCCTATTTATACCAGCTTCTGTGAGTCCTTCTTCTTTTTTCTTTTTTTCTAATGCCAAGCCTAAATTATGTCAGTTAAGATTATAGGTACCTCTTTGTGAAGAAATTGATACTTTCCAGTGAGAGAGAAGTAATTCTAAGGCCTTTTGAGTTTTTCCATGGTGCTGTTATTTAGAGGGGCTTTTCCTGTGTTGGTGTTCTGACTTCTTTCCAAGTCCAAATGACTTGCTGCTTTTCTTTAAAGCCTTCCAGGCTTCCTTGCACTGTTCTGTGGCCGAGGCCTGGTCCCACAAGCGCTGGAGGGGAACGGGTGGTGGCTCGGGCAAGGTAGGGCCGAGGTGGGCTCAGAGTCATTAGAGCTGGGACCAGTGCTTGGGTGTTCTGGTGGCTCTCACTATCATTGCCAGATGAGCTAATTTAAAGGGTATGTGCATTATTTGCACCCCTCCGGGTGACGTTGTTCTTGTTTTTAGTTAAAAGAAGGAAGTTTTTCTTGTTTGCCCAGTGACTCTGTCCCTCTGGTATGAAGATGAGTAATGCTGGCTCTGCTCCATGCACCTGCTCAGTGCCACCCTCCAAGATCACCTGAGACACAGTCAGCAGATCCAGGCAAGCAGGGATGGGATGCTTGAGTGAAAGCTGTGGAAGTGCTTATGGCTGGAGCCTAAAGCTTCTTTTGGCTTGGAGCAGGTACTGAAGCACTATCAGAGCTTTGGCATTTGTTGTGTGCTGCCTCATGCATTTGGGTATTGGCCTTGGGAACATTTATTCTTAGAGACTATCTCAGTCTATGTGCTCTCCCTTCCTCCTACTTGGGTAGGGCTGCAATGAAATGGAGAGCATGCAGTGATAGTCTGGTCTAATTTTTGGACCCCACCCTTATGAGACCTGTGCTCCTAACCATTCAAAGGGAGTGTGTGTGCAGAAGAGCTGTGTTTCCAGTGATCTTACAGGCATTGTGAATTTTGCAGTATGAAGCAATCTGCATGCTGAGTTTCACATAGGCTGTGTAGTGAGGGCATATTCCTGTTAAACAATGAGTGGCTTAGCATGTGAGCTGCTCTCTGCTATTGCTCGAGGACTTTACAGGCTGTTCTTTCCATGCCATCTCTGGTTTGTGTTCCCTTTCTCTATTACAGCATGCAGGTATGTTTGGAGATAACTCTGTACCTAAAAAAACAACTTAGGACTTTATCTGACTGATAAGCATCCCATCACCTGTTGGCAGCCAGGCTTAGTATTACATGTATGTGCTTTGTGAAACACAGAATTACTTAGCAAAACCTTTGGGCCCCTTAGAAACTTTCTGTCTGAAGAAGCTATGTTTGCTGAGTGCTCGAGTTTGAAATCTGACTGTCACTGGATTGTTCTGTCTGTATATGACTGACGCAAAGTTTGGTAGTAAAACTGAAAGTGCTTAACTGTACTATAGAGCTTTTGAGGTGATGAACCTGTTTCTATCCCACCTGATGCGTAAGCTAATTAGCTTCTTGGCTAAGCAGTCACTCCGGGCAAGTGTATACAGGCTGCCCTCACAGGGACTCTTGCATTCCTCCTTGTTTCACAAGCTAGAGATGCTTCTCTTCGCTTGTGAGGTTATTATTGCTCCATGCAGGTTAATTGTGCTATAGCATTATAGCCACTCATCAAGCAGTGGTGAGTATCTCACTTGTCTAAGCTTGTTTATTTTTGTAATGCTGAAAAATATTTGCATGCTGTATAGAAATGTGCTGCTTTGGTTCCTTACAGCCTGGCAGCATTATCTTTTTAAAATCTTCATTAATTTCTCTTCCTTATGATGGTCTGGCACGGTTCCTGTGCACAACTGCATGATGTTTCACACAGAAGCTTTGGTTACTACACTTTTACACAATGCCCTGCAAAAACTGGCCTTTTCTTTGTTAAATAGCACCTGTTAAGCTCTCCTTTATGCTCATTCTCGGCCTCAGCATGGCTGTATCCAACACTTTGCAGTTCTTGTGTTAGTTCAACCAGTTCTGGGCTTGGAAACATGCAGATACAAATAGACCAGGGATAATTTCAGGAGTAGGGATTGGGGCAAAATGGTAGGATTATCAGCCATGAGGTATGACGCACAGGAGCAAACTGCCAAGTCTTTTCAGCCTGGGAACTCTACACCGCGGTGGCTCCTTAAAGCAGAATTGTTTGAAAACTGAATGTTCCACTTGGAAAGCAAAGTATTGCTAGGCTTTGTGGTTATGAAGAATGTATCATGCAGTGCATAAGCCAGTAGTTTTGCAAGATTTGGTAGACTGAAATGAACCGAGTGTAGTCAACTATTCAACCTTGTCCATCTTAATAAATTTAGGCTAAACTCAAAAAGATGTCTGCTTAGAATATTTACACAACCTATCAATTTTCTTCCAACTCTATCATAACAACTTTTCCAGTGCACCTCACTAATTTCAGTGCTTGGCACACTAGTATTGAAATTGCTGGAAGAGCCAAAGGCAAATAGAATTTGATGTCCGAAGAAATAGCACATGGGCTTCAGAACCGTTGGTGCTGTTTATTTTTGTGTTTTGTTACATAAAAAAGCCCTGCTAACTGGTCTGTGCCACGAGTTTCCAACTTGCCCAGAAAGAGGATTCCAAGAATGCTGCCACCCAAGTTAATTGCACAAGATTTTCTTTATTAATTAAAAATAATAGGGTAGAATTGAAAAAAAGCTAGGCTTCGTGCTGACAGTCTTACGGTTAAGACAAAGAGAACGTTTGGTTGGAAAGGCAGCGTGGTGCAAAGAAACTGGGTTTGTTGGCCAGAGGACCTTTGTATTGCATCCCCATCCACCTCTTTCTCTGGATTTCAGAGCTGATTTTTGCATCTGCCCTGAAATTGGTAGTATTCATTCCCAGCAGATCCTTGCAGTGTGAACCGTGCCCATCCATCTTCTGATCAGAAGCAGCAGAAGCAGAGCAGAATGAGCTCATGTGGCTGTGAGGTGGAACGGTGTGTGTGAGATGGTTACATACAGCACCGCTTCCTTCGGCGTTTACGTGAGTTCAGCGTGCACAGATTGCGTTTGTCTGTGGAGAGAATCTTTGAGGCAGAGGCAGAATCTCAAGCTGGGTTATATCTTTGTATTAAGAAAATAAACACCACCAGCCCCCCTCCCCCTGCATTTTTCCAGTAGAGACAAAAGAAATCTTTGGGTGGAAAAGGCAGCATCATATTGCATAATAAAAGCCTTTTTATGCTCTAATAAAATAGGTTGCTTAGGGCAACTTTTTTTTTTGTTGGGTTTTTTTTTTTTTTTTTTTTTTTTTTTAAGAGAGAAAAAGAAGAGTCAGCTCTACCAGCTTGGGGGAGAAAGGAATCCTTCACTTCTGTTGTGCAAAACTGGGAAAGGAGGCAAGAAACTGCTCTAGTTATATGCTATCTTAATGCCTGGTTTAAGGTTCTTTGCTGCATATTTGCTGGCAGCTGTTTTCAATATATTCCTCTCGAGCTCAGTCACCAGTTAAGAATTTGACATTAGAAGTTTTTTTCAGCCACCATCTTGAAGTACCACACCACACAACACAGCCTTGTTCCCTGGTTAGATATTGTTCATGTGCCTTGAAATTGCTGTTGACACCTCAAGTATTTAACTTGCAGATGTGAGATAATTTTTCTTGGGTGTGTTGTGTGCTGTAAGGAGATGGTGGCAGAAGTGTCCACGTCTGCATTCCTCTGCTACGTCTGCTCGTTTTATTTTTCACAGCGTTCCAGGAAATTAAGTCAAAATATACATCCCACTGAATATTTTTAATTTTGCTAGTTTTAATTGCTTACCCTTACAGTACAAACACAGTGTTCACAAGCAAGTTTCACTTCTTTTGCTTCTTTGCCTTTTTGCTCAGGACACGTTTAGTAGTAGATTTAACTACATCTGAATAATGTACCTAGAAGCACGTTTTTCTGATTCTCCCCTTAATGGTTAAAGTTTCTTTAGCTCTTTATGTTCAGAAAGGGAAAAGTAACGTAATGAAAGAATGTTTGGGGAATTAGAGCTGGGATCTGCAGTGTATTTCTGGCATAGACTTTGGCAGTGTCTTTTTCTTTCTCTCACTTTCCCAGTCTGTAAAATAAAGCTAATGCTTATATACTGATCATTCTCAGTCATTTCTGAAGCATAATTTGTGGTAAGTTTCTGAAGCACGTAAGCACAGCACCTCTCGTCAAAGAATTTCTGCTCTAATTTGCCATATACAGTACCACTGAAAAAAGGAGCTGTAAGCACAGAGTACTGTCATCTGTGCTGCAGCTTTCATTCTTAGCAAAAAAATAAAACAATGGAGTTAAAGAATTAGAGGGTTTTAATCACTGTTTCACTTGGAGGCGCAGATGGAACAGAGCATTGTTGGCAGCATTTAATCTTGGAGCAGAAATTGTCATGATTAAAGCAGCAGCTGGAGTAGATTGTTAGGGACATGGGGGTTCATTCATCCTAAAGCAATCAGAATTGCCGAGCTCTGGGAGAAAATAAGAAACTACAAAGAAAAATATTAAATATGGGCCAAGGTTTGTTATTTCTAGGGTCTCGTCTGCCGATTAAAATGATGTTTTCAATGCTTTCCTCAGAATTATTTTGGAAGCGAGGAGAGTATCAAGTGATCTGTCCCACTGAAGAGGAGACTGAAGCCATCTCTGAGTGGAAATTTTGGACGTGCGGGAGGAAGGCTGTGTCCCCCCATGTGCCAGAACCGCTCCTCCTTCCCAAGGAAGTCAAAGTGAAGGACGTAGGTATGTGCCGCTTCAAACAGGATTTCAGATGAATCACATTTTTGGCCATTCGGTGGGGCCCAAATTCATAGTTTGATGAGGCAGCTCGGGGCTGAGGTGGATTTTACCTTTCTCTTCATTAACTTATGCGGAAGGGTTCTGTCTGCCTGAGCCATCGAGGCCTTTGTTCCAGGGGAAGACTCGTGTGGTGGGCAGTGCTGAGGGAGGAAACTGGCTGGTTGTGGAGACCTGGAACAAAGCAAACCTCCAGGTCTCCTGACTCCTGCAGCTCATCCCTGGGTCTGCCTGAGAACGAGCTAGAGTGAGCAAATTGCCTCTTCCTAAGGGACAATGTTGTACAGAAAAAAAGATGTCAGAAGGTAGTGCCAGAATACCGATGTGTGTTTGTAAAGCATGCTCTGTTCTGAACTGTTCTAGCTCAGAAGTAGCTCTGCTTCTAATTAAATGCCACAGAGATGTTACTCATTTTGGATATTTCAGCTCATGCAAGGCCGATGGGTATGAGCTTCCTTGACAAACTCCTGACTTTACTGGGAGACTGAGTGAGGGCTAACTGCTGTTGATTACTGCCTGTTGAATCTCTTCACTCTTTGAATTTCTCTCCTTGGTTCAGTGTTTTTTCCTGTCACTTTTCTGACCTAAGGCACAAAAAAGATTACAACTACTTTCCTCTTGCATTTGCATGTGTTCAGCTGATATTAAGATGTGTGAGGATTTGGTTGCCTTTGTATAGCAGGAAGTTACAGAGTCCTCACTTGCCCCATTATGTACTATTTTCTGCAGTAGGGAGACTAGGAACTGATCTCACTCTGCATATTTATTAACTCTAAAAATCTGCTGGCTATCCAGGTATTCATTACTTGCTTTAACTGATCTAAACTAAGAGATGCATCTACTTCCTGTGATCCATATACAATCTCAACTGAACTTTTTTTTTCCCCTTCCTTAAAGCTGACAATTTGCTGATTTCACCCTTTTATCTTTGCCTGCCTGCAAATATGGGGAACTTATTTTACTGTTGGTAGCTATAAGTGCAAAACAAACAAGAGTCAGGCTTTTTTACCATCATCCTGTGAATTATGGGTCTCCTTTCTCCTGAAAGCAGCCTTGCTGTCTGAGGTATTCAGCCTGCATCCCTGCAGCTTGCAGTCGATTGATATTCCTATAGACTTGCAAGTCACCTTTCATCACCTTTGAGTCTTTGCCCCCTAGCATGCAAGTCTTTCGAAGGTCTAAGGGCCTTAATGACCCTCATTGTTATGGGAACCTTTGGTAATCTAACCTGCCTTTTTCTTCTGTATTTTAAGCTATTGCTCTTAAATGTCTTCTGCTTGATCTACTCAGGCGCTAATAACCGTGTCTCCTTTTCTTAGGTCAAGGGCAGCTTTTACATTCCACCCAAAAGGCACCACAGTTTGAGATGAGGAATTCAGAAGAACAAGCAGCTACGACAGTTTTACAACGCCTGCTGCAGGAGCAGCTCAGATACGGAAACCCAAATGACAACCGTAACCTTCTTGCCTTACACCAGCAAGCCACAGGAAATGCCCCCCCCTTTCAACAGCACTGGGAGTCCAGCATCTCAGAACGAAGGGCTGAACTCCCAGGACCATCAGCTCGTGACTCATGCTGCCCGTCAGGAGCCCCAGGGCCAGGAAATACAGGTGGACAACAGCATCATGGAGAAGCAGCTCTCCCCGCGACTCCAGAACAGCGAGGACCTCCCGACCTATGAGGAAGCCAAAGTGCAGTCACAGTATTTCAGGGGCCAGCCACATGCTAGTGTCGGGGCAGCGTTTTATGTAACGGGGGTGACCAACCAAAAAATGAGGACTGAAGGGCGGCCCACAGTTCAGCGGGTGAGCCCAGGGAAGGTCCACCAGGATGAAGGACTTAAGGACCTCAAGCAAGGACACGTCCGTTCCCTGAGCGAGAGGCTGATGCAGCTGTCCTTGGCCACCAGTGGTGTCAAGGCGCACGCGCCCGTCACGAGCGCACCGCTCTCCCCTCTCTCTCCACTTTCTCCTCAGCAGTCGAGCGACCCTTATAAAAATTCTGGCTCCAGTGAGTTCTACAAGAACTCTGTGCAGCCGCCTTCCCAGCCCAGCATGAAAGGGATGGAGCAGAGGGGTCCTCCTCCGGAGTATCCTTACAAAAATGTGTCCACCCCATCTATGAACTGCAAACCTCAGGACTCGGGGCATTTCTATAGTGATCATCGCGTGAGCCAGCAGGGAAGATCCGATGGGCCTATGATGAGGTATCAACATCCCCCTGAGTATGGGTCAGTCAGGTAAGCAAGATTCTTAAAATGGCAGCCAGATAAGAAAAGAAAGCATAAAACTCAGTCCACTGTTTTCACTCCTGAGGTAGATTATCTTTCAGCAAAGATTTCATCTCTTTCATATGAGACCATGTATTGTGTTCAGCTGCAGACGGTGTCTGGAAGAACTGTAAGCTCTTTCACTGGCTTAGCTAGAGAGACCTGACGCCTTTTAGAGAGGAAAAAAATGCACAACCAAAAAAAAAAAACCACCCAAACAAAAAACAACAGACCAGCTTGATTTTATGGCAAGGGGAAGTTTAATGCAGCTCCAGAGCCACGCAGAAGGCTTGCTTTAAGGAAAGGGGAAAAAAAGGTTGTGGTGTGATTCATTCTAGAAACTTGCAGTTACTTATTGCAGTACTTAAGCTGTGCTTTAATTACATCTGCCAAGGGAAAGTATTTTTATTTTTTTTTTTTTTAGGTTCAAGCTGCACCTAAATGCCACATAGTAAAGAAGAAAGTGAGTGAAATCAGTAATGGTGTGGGGGACAAAAATGGCCAGAGCTTCCCTTAGAGTTTTCCAGATTTTTCAGTGGGCCAGCACGTAGGAGTAGAAAGCGTGTGCTTTGTTTCTCATTCAAGACTTGCTTGTTTGGCTTTTGTTAATTTTCCTTGCACAATTTGAAATCCCAGCCTGTTCTGGTTCTCTCTAGATTAGAAAGTAGATTTGGCTTGAGCCAAATGCTGATGGCCACGTGGGTGAAGATGAAGTTTTATTCACATGGATTGAAAATATGGCTCTCCTTTACCTGCTTCCTTACTGTCTCATCTCTATCCAAGGCTGGGGAGAGGGAACTTTGGTATTATGATTTTGGCCTGGCTTTGAACCTAAAAGAGTAATACAAAGGAGCAACGGGAGGGAATTGCTACAGAAGAAAATGGTGAGGTCTCTCTGCATTTGTGTTTGCACATACTGTGTTGTGTTTTCAGGGGAGTGGGAGGAAGAAACCAGTCTGTATTTGGGAACAGAGTCTGAGCTTTGGAGAATTTGAATCTGCTCAGAACCTTCTTAGTCCTATGGGGAGCTATTTTCAGAGTTTGTCCACCATTGTTTGTGATCTGAAATGACTTCAGCAGCATACAAGCCTGATGAAAAGGCCCTTTGATCTGGCTAAATAAATAATAAAGAGGCCAGGAAGAGGGGAAGTAAAGGGTTTGGGGGGGGTGGTAGTGATTGTCGAAGCTCATTGCAAATCTTTTTGAAAATTCAAAGGCCTCAAATCTGCACGCAGGGGAAGGAAACAGATCCTTAGTGCTTGTGCTGCATCATAAATGCTCCTAATATTTAATATAGTGAGTCTGAGACATTGCCTGCTTGCTGTGCAAGGGAGAGGTATTTGAAAACATGCCAACAGTCAGCTCCTCTAGACAGGGTGATTTTTGTCTGTATTGGATGGATCCTGGCTGCTTGGAAAAAAGAGGGGGGAGGAGGAGAAAGGTTCAGCTGGCGAGGTTTCCAGTAGGGGAAGCAACTGAAATTTGTCTTCAAAGCACTGGGAATCTAATGAGGTTACTTTTTAACCTAAATAGCTGTACAGAGAAGAGGTTTCCTTTGCAAGCGAATGCTGAAGCAGTAGAACAATTGCAAGACTAATCCATAAATTACAGAGCGGTGTAGTGAAGGAAGGGAGCGAGTCCCCTCCCATATTAAGAGAAACAGTCATTCAGACAAGAAATCTTCTCTGCTACCAAAGGTGCAGCTGGGCAGTGGCATGAGCATTTTAAAGGCACGTGACTGTGAGGAGTGTGTTTGCCTGGCACCTGACAGTGCGTCTTTGCAGCCTCTCTGCAGCGATAAAGTATTTTCAGCCGCTGCAGCTTTCCTGGGCTGCAGCTCTGTTTATCAGGATTAATTGGGATTGGTAAACGTGTGCATTTTTTGAACTGCACGGCAAGGAAACAAAGCCCCTTCTTTCTGCTGGCGAAGCCACACCCTTTTCTGCGGGTTTTCCCCTCATTGTTCAGGGGAATTTGAGGGTGACCTAACGATGTGGTTAAATAAAACCCGTTGAGCAAGATAAACATTGGGGAATTCACGACATTCTCATGCTTCACCCTCCCCGCTCTGGGAAAGGAATGGGCTGTGTGGTAAGTTTAAACCAGTCTGCAAACAGTTTGCCTCACCTGCTCCTGGGCGGCGTAAGTTTGGGAACATGTATGTGTTCGTAGCAGTGTTAGTTTAATGTAAATACTGGGCATGCCAGGGGCATCTGCGCTGCTATTTGGAAATTGTAAAGTTCAGAAGAGGACTGGCTGCATGCAAAGCTCCAGAATCCCATTCTCTCCTCAACATCTCCATTGTACCTAAGCACCGGTGATGCCACGAACGTTCAGGTCTAAGAGGAGTCCTGGCCTCAGCGTGCAGCGGTCGTGTCCCCCATGGCAGAACTGGGACGAAGGGGCTGGTTGGATTCTGCCTTGTGCACTGAGGAGCCTTGCTGCCTCCGATTCCAGCGCCATCCCCCGCCCAAGTGACCGAGTGCTGCTGGGATTAATCCCGCTGACTGCACAGAAACTTTTTAAGAGTTTGTCCCATAATTAGTAAATCCCTTCTGTGTCCCACGTTCCCCCGAGCAGCATCAAAGCGGGGATAATCAGGTGCGGCATGGAGGCAGAACAAAACCGCATCAGTTTGATTTCAGCCGCCTGGCTGAGCGGAGCCTGCTCCCTCCTGCACTCTGTGTCCTGGCTCACAGGGAGGGCTGGAGGCAGTGGGGACCCGTGATGGCTTGAGCCTGATGTAGCAGGAGAAGCTGGGAAGGAAAAAATGGTTTTTAACAAGCCAGAGACCTTTTCTGCTCTCTTCATTTTTCTGTCCTCCCCGCTTTGCTCCTCTGCGCATAGATCTTCTGCATGGCTTGGTTCCTGTAATCCTGGCAGCCTCTGCACTCCTGTTGGCTGGGTTTGCTTGCAGAGCCGTATCTCTATCTTTGTGACTTAAAAGCTAATGTGACCCTTGTAGTTGCGGAGCCATAAATCCACAGTTGTACTTGGCCCGCGTGGCGTGTTTCTCCAGTGTTTGCCAGGGACTGTAAAGGAAGCGGAGATTCTTGTGTCATAGCATTCAAAATGAAGTGGCCCTTAAAGTTCTTTTCTCAAGCTTAAACATTTCTAGGAATTATTGCAGGGTTGTTTTCAGGGTTTGAGGTGTTTATGACAGCAAGGCAAATTGAAAGATACTGAGTAATTTTGTTTTTCAAGTATTTCAAGAGTCTGTCTGCATTTTTGCATGATATAATTGCAATTACTGCTGCAGGTTACCTGAGGACAGTTTCTCTCATGGAGAACAGTTTCTGCTACCTTTCTATCAGCAGTTCTGTGAAGTGACCTCAGGAGTGATTTGTACCTTAAGATTTAAGACTCTGACTTAAAAAAATCTCAAGCAATACCATTGGGTTCATCTGCCTTCCTAAATAAACTCCACAATTCTCACATTAATCTGAGGGAAGGGTCTCAGAGCTGGGTATTTTGAAGTGTATATATGAGAAGAATATATATGAGAAGAATATGTATGTAAGTATTTTGTGAGACAGAATTGAAAGTAGCGAGGATACTAAAAAGTTCTGTAAATGTGCAGATGAAGGTTTTCATAGAAGATCTTAAAAGGCTGAGACGTCACTGGGGGGTTACTGGGAAATATTCTTTTTAAACATGGGCTGTATCAGCCCTGTTGGATAATCTTGCTGGGAATTTGTGTCACTTTGGAAACTCTGAAGCTGTTGGTAATGCAAGAAAATTGGGGCTTCCAGCTCTCATGTTGTAGCTTGAACCTGTGAGATTGCTGTATTCTGAAGATGTGAGAGGCTTTGGATGTGAGTGCCAAAATGCTGGAAATGTTGGAAATATATCTTGTTTAGAAATAGTTGGCCATGATTTCCTGGAGTTCTTTACAATAGATTTTTTTTTTTAAAGTTGTTTTTGAGTATGTCAGTACAAGGAGGGTCCCTTCAGAATTTAGCTGCCACTGTTGCATCTTCGACCTCCTTTCCTTTGAGTTCCTCTCTTTAGGGCTCGTATGCTGTGGAAACAGCAAGGTTTTGGTGGCAGGATGACGAGATGCATTTACTGAAATATCCCAGATTGTCAGCATCCCTATCTAAAGAGTCCCCAGGCTTATATTACCAGCACATGCAGATTGGGTTAATCCTATCTGAATAACTGCTTCAAGTTGTTTTCAAAAAGAGTTTTGTGGATTCAAAATGGGAAAGGTTTGTTTTCAGCCAGGAGGCAGACTGGCAACATATGTATTTTGATCTAACCTCTGCAGGCCATCACAGATTGTCACAACAAGATTAGTCCTTAATTGATTAAAAAATCAGAGGAACATGACATCATGTAAAGAGAGAGTTGGAGGAGCTGGAGAGTGTGTGAAGATGCAAAGTTTTAACTAACCTGAGTGAGCTGAGAACGGTGTTGGAAACCACCTGAGACAAACTAGATGACCTTGAGCACATCCTGTGTTGGTTTTTGCCTTATTCTTCGTTGTGAGAACTGATGAATAAAAGTAATGAAATAAATGCATTAAGTGGGGCTGACCTGCCAGGAGAGGAAGAACCAAATTGCTGCTACTAATTTGAACATTCCTGAGGAAATTACTTGCACAACTGTCTTATGCGTAACCCCTGAGATCCTTGTGCCACATGTAATCATTCCTGGGAAAATGCAGCTCCTGAAATGATGATGCTGTTGGGGGCCACAGTCACCTGAGTGGGAGGAAGGGAAGAACAGTAACTAGAGCAGTAATTATTTGTTTCTTCCCAAGTGTGAGAATGAGTAGATTTGTTTCCCCATTAGAGAACTTGAATGTCACCTTGAGGGTTTCTCTGCACCTTCTCTGCTGGAAAGCAGGGAAAATGAGATGCAGCTCTGAAATGGTGAACCCTGCCTGAGAACGTATTGACTCCTACGTGCACTGGCAGCCAGATGTGAGTAATACAGACGTTTCCTCTTTGGACGGGTATGAAGAGTTGATGCGTTCGCTCTGCACAGGACAGGAAGGATGATGCCGAGTGTTTGCACATAGGCCGAGAAGCCCGTTGTGTAACCCTTTGGCTTCCAGTTCAGGTCCACATCTGCTGCCGTTAACTGACACATGGCTAACCCTCCTGGTGTGGTGGGAGAGCAGTGCTGGGGGCTGCTGTGAACATCAGTATCCCTGGTGTGCTCAGCACAGCCATTCCGTAGGGTCCTTCCTGTGAGCACAAACAACCACGGGGGTATTCTGCAGCAGCTCCAGACAGGTGGAGCAGTGTGTACTTTTCCAGCTGCAGGGTTCAACTGCAGCCCAGAGGATAGGAAATTTTATCAGAACAGAACTGCAGAACTGAACTGCCAGAGTGGGTCTGTATCAGCCTGAGTTCTATGCTTGAGAAGAGACTGCCTGGAGAGGGTAGACCTCAGCTGCTAGTGTAAAGAATGTCTAGAGAAGTTAGAGATTGAATGTCATGGGAAGAAGCAGCAAAGCCTGCCCTCTGAGATCATCCAAGTACGGTAAATCCACGGTTTCTAAAAAAGGCTTTTTCAATGGTAACATAGCACAGGTTAAAATGGGGATCTCCAGAGTCCATGAAACGTGAGCCGGAGTTAGTTCTCTGCAAGCGTGTTGCAGATGTCTAGATCTGTGTTTGATATCCTCTGGACGTTACTGTTAGGAACAGTGAGCACACTTGGTACGTTGGACAAAAGGCTCCTTCTGACTCTTAGGTTTGTTTTCACGTCCTTTAACTGTCTGATTTGACCAGGCGTGTTGGTTGATGCTTGGGAAACCTTGCACCACTGGTGCTGGCCTGGCAACAGGGAGCTTAGCCAATTCCTTTAACTTCGTATCCTTAATTACTGAAGAAGATTAATTGTTTTCTATTTAAGAGATTGCATTTTTCAGGACAAAAGAGAAGTCCTCAGCTCAGCCATTTTATTCACAGTGTGTGGAAAAAAAGTTGTAAAAATAATTTTTGCCAGTGGTTGCTGATGGAATTTCTCTTAGTGTTTCTATATAAAATAGACACACGATTATGACCATCACATAGTTAGAATTGATTTTCTGCTACCAGATTGATTTTTGAAGTATTTATTTAAACAAATGTATATTCAAAGCCCTGAACATGAGAGGTTTCTATGTGGAAATACCTGTGAATAGGAGCTATACAGCTCACGCCTTTATCACTTGGTTCATGCATCATCTATGTGACTTTGATGGAGTTTCTGCTCTCTGTTTTCCAGGCAGAACCCAGATGTACAGCTGCAGTTACAACAGAGACCACCTCACCATCACAGTCCAACTTCTTCCTTGACATCTTTGGGATCTTTGACCTTGCTTCAGTCTCCACCGCCATCCAGGCTGTCCCCTTCCCAGCACCAGCAACCCCTGACTCCAAGCCAGGGAGATCCTGGCATTCTGCCACGGACCCAGCAGCCTTTCTTGTCAAACCAAGTCCATCAGGGAGATTTGTACCGACTATGCCAGCCTTTCCTTGGCCCGCAGCAGCAGCAAGGCGATTCCTATTCAGTGATGTCCCGGGCTCAGCAGATACCTTCCCCATATCAGCAAATGCAAGTAGATCCTTTTGCCATAGTTTCCAGGGCCCAGCAAATGGTGGAAATCCTGTCGGAAGAAAACCGATCTCTACGACAGGAGCTGGATGGGTGTTATGAGAAGGTAGCCCGACTGCAGAAGGTGGGTGTTCTTGAATGTCAGACACTCTCCTGTGTCTGGTATCATCCATAATTGAATAATCTAATCTGCAGTTGTTAATGTTGCTTGCTTAAGGGATTGATGTATCTACTTCAGTCTTTTATATGTAGATAGAATAATTGTATCCTGTCCCTTTGGGCAGTCCTTAACTTCATCGGAAGATGGAATCAAAGCCTTCAGTTTTATTCTGACAGGTAATTGACCATGCTCAAAAGAGCATCCTCATCAGTTGTCTCAAATAGGCTGGCTGCTTGGCTTGCTTAATTAAAGCTAGTGTTTTTATTTCCACATAGCAGCAGACTTTGTTTTCCCATCAGTTTGAAAGAGTTTAGAGACTGTGGGAAGGGTTCATCTGAGCTGACTTGAGTACATGGTCACACAAGTAGACAACAGGGAGCATGACTGCAAAACTGGCTGGCAGGACATAGTGCAGGAGAAGTACTGCTGCTATGGCTACATTAGAGACATTTGGATTGCAGGGCTGAAACTAACGCTTTGTCACTGGAGTCATTTAAAAAGCCTTCCCTCAGTACTGCACAACTGCTACGAAAACTTAGAAGTCTCTTTGGATCAAGCTATTTACCACCTTTGGCTTTATGGAACAAGTAGAATAGGTGATGATAAAACCCTTCTCCCGTACATTAAAAACAGTAATAAAAAGCTCCAATGAGAGCCATCACTAATAAGCTTGAGGGATATTTTCATTGCAGCCTTTTAGAAATAACTTCTGGATGACCAACAGTTTAAAGTTGCACAGCCAGTCAGCCTTGCTTTGCTTTGCAGCTGTGAAAAGGCTAATGCTGCTTGTAACCTAGGACTTTGTGGGCCTTTCTGTGCTCTTTGCACTGAGCAGTCTCCAGGACCATAAAAATGTGTGTCTGATTAAAACACTTGTTTGAGTTCAGATGACCAGTGTGGCTTCCCACGCTGATTTATTTTCTACGTTGCCTCTTTCCAGGGACATATGTTCATTGTGTTGTATTTTATTTGGAAGGTTCCTCACCAGGAAATGCTTTAGAGAAATGTTTGACTGCTTCCTGATAATGAAAGAAGGATACCAATGATTTCCCTTCCATGCCCCTATTGATCTCTTAGTACGTGCATCCATACTTCTGTAGCAGTGCAAAGCTGTGCCTGGCAAGGAGAGTTAGAAGTGAATGTTCCCCTGCTCTGGGTGATCAGCTGCTTGCTGCAGCTTAAATCGAGCAGCTTTACACCGAAGGCTAGAAGGAAGGAGAAAACTTATTTTACTACAGTTGTTTATGTGTGCCTTTGTTCCACCCTCCCCCCAAGTTACGTAGATGGAATATTTTAAAATACAACTAAGATGTGGAAGTGTAAGTATAGAACATCAGGAGGTTTTATTGTGAATTTTGGACTGTAACAATTACAGATCAGCAGAGTTCATCAGCAGTGTAGGATCTGCTACTAGCATTTTTTAGTATAGGTTGACTTTCTTGTTTTATTTTATTTAACCAACTCAGTATCACATTAGCTATTTCTTCAGTATATATCTTCTTTTTTTTTGCCCAAACTGATACTAGTATCAAACAGTTCTGGACATACAAAAAAAAAGTAGATGACATTTGCACTTCTTCAGTTCACTGTATTAGTGCTCTGATTGTGTTGGGGAAGTAGAACTAGAGACTGGAAGCAGGGTCCAGATTTTTGTTCCAGCCACTGGTATTCTTAAGGAGGATCCCTCAGAAAATGAGATTCTGTCATTTCGTTTGATGTGTAGCTGCATTTTATCTCAACAAAGAAAACAAGAGAAGGCAATCTCTTCTGAGATTAAATGAAACGAATTGTAAGTGATAAAATAGTGTGTGCTTGTTTTCACTTCCACTGCAGCTGGAAACAGAAATTCAGCAAGTTTCAGAGGCATACAAAAACCTGGAGAAATCATCCTCTAAGCGGGATGCCCTGGAGAAGGCCATGAGAAACAAGCTGGAAGGAGAAATTCGTAGGCTTCATGATTTCAACAGGGATCTGAGAGGTGAATGAAGTAAAACTTTTCTTCAATATTGTATTTTTACTGTTGTTCTTACTCATCAAGCCAGTGTGTTGCCATGGGAGTCGTCATGTCTGCAGACGCAGTTGGATGTGACTGGATACTCGGGTATATTCAGTAGTCTGGGATTTTAAGCATTTGCTGAGAGTATGAGAAGGCAGGTTTAGAAGAGTGCTGGTGTCTCATTTCTAGCCTGTTTCTCATTGAGAAGAAATGTGATAAGCCAAATGCCATAAACCAGATGCAGGCCTGGAATTCTCTTGTCTTATTATCCTAGACAAAATTTGTGCAATTTGTTCAGTTTATCCAAATGGGAAGATGCTTTGCTGACTGCCTAATCCCACACCAGGCATGTTCACTTTATTTCCTGTCCAATGACCTCTCTGCACTGACATACAAATTGCAGTGTCTGTTCTTCCTGAAGGTCTTGTCATTCCTTATCAACATAGGCATCTGTTTTTTTGGATCCCTTTTCCAAAGTGAGATGTTGTTAGTGTCTGGTTCTTGCTAAGAGGCTGAGGCTGCAGAATGGCTGGCAGTGGAGAGCGGTGTTGAATGGTATTTGACCTTAATATGAGTCAAAGTTTTTAACATTAGTTTGAAAGGTGAAAAACAACTGCAATGTTAGATCTGTGAAAGTGTATAATTGGTCTTTTAAAATGTACGTTTAATTTTTTTCCGAAAGCCATCTGATTGTCCTACATGTCATCTTCTTTCTCTGTCTGTAGTCTCGGAGTAAGATCATGTTTTCAGAAGCTAAAAAATATGCATCCAAAATATGAGGCCATAAATTGCCCAGTGCTAGTGAGAGAGACAGTACACAAAGGCCCGCATTAAATAATTTTATTCATAATAAAACACTGCATAAATATTTCATTTTTATTTTCATAATCTGATACAAATTTCTAGTAGCCTACAGCAGCAGAACTGCTAAGCTATCCCTGGGATTTTATGTTTTTCTCTGAAGTCAGGTAATTAGACAACAGTGGTTTAATCTTCAAACTATTAAGATGTAGTGGAGGATTATAAGGGAATCTTTTAATTACGTGGGGAGATTTATTTGTGTGGGAAAAATGAGTTTATTTGAAGAGATTTTTGAAACCATTTTTTGTGAAATTTGTGACACAGAAGACTGAAATGTATCAGCTCTTCATACTGAATTCTATAGGGAATCTCAACATCTATAAAAATAGAAAAAAATGAACATAAATTAGGTTACAGTTGTTTAAAGGATTTTTTTTAAACTCTGTTTAATCTGTTTTGTCTCCTTCAAAATATTTTCTGAAGGACGTAATTAGAAACATTTAAGAAATGAGTGGCAGCTTTTGATAGTCTTTTCGCTTTTGACTGTGTAGAAGATCCACTCCCTGAGCTTGAGAGTCTTTAATGCTTGAAAGTTTTTTGATTCTTTAGCATTTCTTTTCTTGACAAATTCTGCAGAACGTATGGAGACAGCCAACAAGCAGCTTGCGGAGAAGGAATTTGAGGGGTCTGAAGACAATCGGAAAACCATCTCTCAACTCTTTGCACAAAGTGAGTTATACAGTCATTATAGGTCATTAGGAGTGCTCTAGTCACTCTTAAAAGGATAAACATGCAGCAGATGAATGTAGGAAACTGACAGATCTGACCTACCAGGACTGAAACTGGGGCACTGGCAGTCCAAAACCGGCAGTGCAGAGAGGAGGACAAATTTAAGAATTATTGTTCTGTCAGTATGTACAGTCTATCTGATGGTGTTTGCTAGAGATTTTGGAGCAAATGTAGTGTACGGTTGCATTGTAAAAATAGTGTTTACTCCATAATGTGTAATAGAATTTGAGCAACTATTTTCTTCCCTGAAAGCTTTGGAATTAAACCTTCCCAGACTGCCAAAAATCCTGGCATGACTTATGGACAGTGGGACTGGAACCCTGAAGGTCTCCCATCTCTCTCTCCTCTTTAATTTGCTGCTCACTATCCGGCTCAGCACAAGCAGGGGGAATTAAAAATGCCTGCAGTATGTTGTGCTGTGTGTCATGAATTCTGTGTGCAGCAGTGGATTTATCACAGGGCAAACCAAAATGACAGATGTGAAATGCTGCTTTTCCTTTGTACAAAAATGTCTCAAGGCTGATGGCAGCGAGCCAACTTTCCTTTCATTCCGTGCTGCGCCCCACCCTTCTGACAATGCTTACTTTTCACAATTGTTATATAAAGGTAATGCAATAGAAAGTAACATTGCAAAATAGTGATTTTCTATGATGTAACACGAGCTGCTTCTGCTCTGACAGATGCTGGTATCCCCCCTCTTGTGTTGTCTATAGCTTATTCCTTGTGGCTTACATCGCAAGCAAAAAGCTGTCAGTGTGTGAGTTCTGCTCTCCTGGTGGTAGTGGGAAATCTGTGATTGTACTCTGGCTTTTAGGATTTCATACGTTTGCCCAAGGAGGTGGGAAGGCCAAAGCTGTGAAGCCATAGGTGCCATTTCTACTTCTGGATGCATGTGGAAAGCTTAGTGCTGTGTTTTATCGATCCCAGTATTTCTTGGGATACTGTAGGCACTTGTTGGTGAGGCAGAACTCATTTGAAGAAAAATCTGGAATAAAACCTCCAAAAGCTTTGCTGCAAGCACTTACAGATTAGCAGAGTGCCAGCACTGATTGATACCTTCTGGCGTAATGCCACCCTACCTCATCTCTGCCCATCTTCTGCAATACGTTTTAAACATGCTGACACTGTCAGCGGCTCATTTCCTGGGTGGAGGAGAAGTGCTAGGATGGGAAAGATGGGGAACTGAACAGAATAGGCTGGTACTGGCATTAGCCTTTATCCTTGTCTCTTATGTCCAAGGTTAGCTCTGAATTGCAGTTGGAATTTGCTATGCAGAGCTCTGAGGTGCTGCTGGTTGAGAGGTTTCTTCTGTAACCTATGTGTGGGCTGCATCAGTTCCCTAGCAAAAGGGAATCTTTAGCTGTTCTGTATTGCTAAAGCTTTGCTCTTGGCTCTTCTGCTGGCAGAAGGAAGGGAGTAATTGTGGTTCTGTAAATATAGTTATGCACATGCTTGCACAAATGTGCCTGTGTACTCCATATGCAGTCTGTCCTAACACCCAGAATCTAGTTCCTGTTTTTCAAGCCTTACTCTCCTTGTCCTCATTCCTTTGTCGTGGGATATTACTTTCTGGAATGTAGTTTCTCTGGTGTTGTCAGTGCTGGGTGTAGATCACTGCAGGGAGTATTCTGTGGTTATGTATCCAGTGAGTATGTTAATGTTATCATTGTAGCTGGTTGGCATGAGCTGGGAATGACAGCATAGGCAGAGGACATCAGCTTTGTGTTGTGGCTTTGCCTTACACTTTTGTGTGATAATTTCATCAGTTCCAAGTTATTGTATCCTGCATGGTTGTTTTTTTTTTTTTTTTTTTTTTTTTTTTTTTTTAAATGAAAGCAGTTAACCTGTTCCTGACACACAAAGCATGGGCACTCCCACTATGTCCAGCACTTTCTGGAGTGCAGCAGAAAGGGAATAAGTGCCTGCGTCAGTACAGGTTAGGGGCTGACCTGCTGCAAAGGAGCTCTGCGGAGAAGGACCTGGGTGTCCTGGTGAATAACAGGATGGCCATGAGTGAGCAGTGATCCCTGATGGCCAAGAGAGAGTCCAGTGGAGGGCCACAAAGATGAAGAGGGGCCTGGAGCATCTCCTGTACAAAAAAAGGCTGAGAGACCTGGGGCTGTTCAGCCTGGAGGAGAGAAGGCTGAGAGGGGATTTCAGCACTGTTTACATAAATATCTAATGGGCAGTATCAAGTGGATGGGGCCAGGCTCTTTTCAGTGGAGCTCAACAACATGATGGGCACAGACTGGAACAGAGGAAATTCCATGTGAACATGAGAAAATGCTTAGAGGGTGACAGCAGTGGAACAGGCTGTCAGAGAGACTGGAGTCTCATTCTCTGGAGTTATTCAGAATCACAGAATTGTAGGGGTTGGAAGGGACCTCTGGAGATCATCGAGACCAACCAACCCCCCTGCCAAAGCAAGTTCACAACCCAGCTGGATGCTTTCTTGTGCAACCTTCTACAGGGAACCTGCTTTAGCAGGGGGGTTGGACTCAGTCATCTCCAGAGGTCCCTTCCAACTCCTGTGATTCTGTGACCAGCCACTGTGCTTGGAGTGGCTTTAGAGCACTAAGCATGAGCTCTCAGTACTGTGCAGAAAGCTTGTTGAACTGCAGGTGTGTTTTAAGTAGTGACAGGACAAACACAGGTGCGTAGGTCCTGGCCCAAATGATTTTAAGGGCAGTAGAGGAGGACCAAGGAGTTTTCCTTGCTTGTTCCTCTGGTGAAGCTGACTGCCAAGTGGGGTGAGTGCATGTTCTCTTGAGAAGGTGGGCAACTGCCCCAAGCAGAACACCTTTTCTTCACACCATGTCCACAAGCAGGAGTACAACGTCTTCAGGCACAAAAGCTTACCATCTATCCTCCCCAGCCAGGGATATTAAAACTACCCAGTTTGTTTTCTAGTGTTGAAAGCTCAGAGGTGAAGAGGTGCCAAGTTTTGCTAACCATCTGTATAATCAGAGCAAATTACCTAACTGTACTGAGTGATACATCTTCTATTCCTCCATGCTAGCATTGTGGCATATTGTTACTTGAAGGTAACATGCTTGTTTTTCAGGGTTACAAATTCTTCCTTGAAAGCCACATAATTTTTATCCCTTAAGCAATAGATTTGCGTTCTGTGTCTTGTGAGAAGTTGCCCCATCTTTCCTTCACCTCTGAATTAAAGAACTCCTGAAAGTTGAGTAGAGAAGAGTGCCTTCTGTTGGTAACTCTCACTTCCTTTTGGTAGACAAAGAAACACAGCGGGAAAAGGAGAAACTGGAAATAGAACTGGCTGCTGCACGCTCCACCAATGAAGACCAGCGAAGACACATTGAGATCCGAGACCAGGCCTTGAACAATGCTCAGGCCAAGGTGGTGAAACTGGAGGAGGAGGTAAGGAGGCTGGGAGAGAGAAACTGGGGTAATCTGCATTCCAGTAGAAGTGACTCTGGAAATAAGTGTATGTTGTGAAATAATAAGGAAATCTACTAGCTTCAAAGCTGTTTATATCGGCCTAGCTTTGTGTTGGTTAGCTAAGCCTCTGAACTGCTCACAGATAAGCCACAAATCTGTATTTTCTTGGAATTTCTGTCATCTGAGCAGCCACGTTTCATTTTCTTTTTGTTTTAACTGATAAAAATGGGCTGGAACTGAAATCCCAGCCCTCGCAAATTCTTGAATTTGGCAGAAATTCAGATCTGGATGGACTTCTAATTAATAGCGAATGAATGCAGTTTGTCCCCTAGCCAGGTGTTCCACTCACACCAGGTTATCATGGCGCGCAGTGCCGATCACTGTATGTGCCTAGTGTTCGTAATAAGCTGTGCATGACATGACCTTGGTTGTTTTCTTTCCCTTTCCTCCCAGAGGGGATAATGCAGTTGAGCTGCTTAGCTGGACAGCTTTCACAGTAGTTTCTTTTGTAGCCTTGTCCCTGTCATTCATGGCTCCCACTTCACAGCCCTTCTGCGTCATACTAACTGTCCTGCCTACTCCTTTCCTCTCAAAGGCTCCATTTCCTTGTCCCAGCCTCTGCTTCCTCTACTCCTACTCTTCCTCCATAGAGAGCCCCTGGAGGAAATTTCATGACCAGGCAGACTTCCTCTGCTGCAGGTTTGTTCTTTTCTTCAGTTCTGCCATCTGCCTGCCTACCAGCACTCATGATCACCCTCAGGAGGGCTATGCTTACATCCACCTGCATCTTGCTGTCTTGGAGACATTCCTCAGACCCCTCTCCTTTTCTGTTTTTCTTCTTCTCTGTTCAGGATCCATTTCTGCCAACAGAGGAGGAGTGGTCCGATACTTAGTGAGCATCTTCCTGTCATAACTTGCCTGTTTTCATTCTCTTCCACGTACATATGCACTCATCTTATTTTAGTCTTCTCTTCTCTAAGCTTTGTATTTGCCTCAGTAGTTTTTCCCCAAACCTCCTGTTGTTTCTTTCCCTGCTGTCCTTCATTTTTCCCCTTGCAGTATCATTTTAATCTCTACAGCTTCATGGAGGCCCTCCCTCAGTATCTCCTCTCCTGGAATTGCTCTGCCCATGTAGGATATGGATGCTGGGTTACCAGTCATCACGCTTCAGTTATCTTTCTTTGCCATTCTCCACCTCTCTTTCGTATCTCCATCACATTAAGTGTATTTCCATGGTTTATGTATCACCGTGGTTTATGCCATCCTGTTTCTCTTCTCCCCATTTTACTGATAGGATGTCTCTCACCTTCGTTTGTTCCCAATTTCAAATAACCCCATCTTCCCCACCCCAAACAAGCACTGCTTTCTCCCAGACTGCCCTCAGATTTGCTGCAAACCACTGGCAAGGCCACTTCAAAAGCATCCTGTGCTGGAATGCTTGCAGAGCTTAGTCCAGTGCTTAGTATCAACAAACTGGGGAGCCAGCTTCTGCACAAAACAAACTGTGATAGTGAAGAAAGACGAGCAGATTCAGAGGAATGCTTAAATATCACTGGCCACATTCAGCCTCATGCACAGCTGACAAGTGCAGTGATTTCATTAGGATGGCAGTATTTCCTTGCGGAATTGCACCTTGGTGTCTCTGGGGACAGGGAGCATTAGGTATAGGGAAAACATGTGAAATGTTCTGTTTGGCTCTTCTGTCAATTGATCCTGCAATGTGTGGAATATGCTTGCCTCCTATTCGGATTTCAGCAACTTAATGATTCTAAGAGTCTCACATATGACGAATCTAAATACCCAGGACAACTTCATGGGTTCTCTCAAACTATTCACATGCTTGGAGCTGACTTGTGTGGAGATGCTGTAATCAGCCAGGGCCAGCATACATAGCAGTTGACTAGGTCAAACTTCTATGTAGGGTTTCAGTCTTCAGAGGCAATAATAATTGTATGGTTTCTTTTCAAAAGACATATCGTTTTACTACAAAAAGTGGTTTCGGTGCTGATGCAAAGAACAGGGAAATAGGTAGGTAAATATGACTGGATTGCATAATAGCTTAAAAAATACCCAAACACACCTATGCTGGTACAGAGTGAAAGGCCCTACTTCAGATTGCATGAGGGTTTGTGGTCATTTGCATCCGACCTTTGCTCAGATCCCAGGGTGTACAGGAAGTGCCACCCTTCCTGTTGTAGATGAATATGGAACTGTCTCAGTGAGGGAGCTGGAATTAACTGTGCTTTTTCCTAGAGGTGAGGGGGAATAAGGGAAAAAGAAGGGATGAAGACTCACTTTTGCAGATTTTCCAAATCACTTTTTAATGAAATACTTAGGATTAGAAAGCATTTGTTGCCTCATTAGCTTTAAATTGTGGGAACTTCTGAAATCCCTGAGCTGTATGGTAACTTGCCGACAGACAGCCAAGCAAGCTGTGCTCAGGGCACCTTCACAAGGGAGTCTGAATGTCAGTCTGAGTCAGTGGTGTTCAGTGACCAAGATATATAAACAATTTGTCAATTATTTCTTCTGTTCCTGCCAGCCTCATCTGGGTTGCTGGTCCCTGTAATTGTCAGGAATTTCCAAACTAGTCCTGCAGAAGAGGGTGGAGTTTCTTACGCTAAGGCTTGGCAGCCGCTCTGGCTCAAGGCCTGAGGGGAGTGTGCATATTTCAGTTGCATCCTGTAATGCGAGTTTTCAGCTTTTTTTCCCTTCCGTTTTGACTTCCTATTGAGCAGAGTTACTCTGCCTTGTATTCAGCAGAACCTTTGTGAAAAGAATATTTTATTTCTGTTGTAATGAGATTTACAAGCCATGTATCACAATGACTGAATTTGCGTTGGTATTGGAACTTACGTGTTCCATTTAAAACCCTTTGCCTGAATTGTGGGTTTGAGCAAAGCCACCCATGTATAAAACGTATGTACTTCTCTACTCCTATGGAGCTTTGGGAGTTTTATGCACACTGGATTTTTAGCATTCAAATTAGAGAGTAGGAAGAGATAAAGGAGTGGTAAAAGCAATGGAGAAAGGAATGGTCTTGGAGATACTTTGCTTTTGGAAGCAAAAATAGAAATTCAGAGTATTTCCCATGTCTATTAGCAATGGTGAAATGACTTGTCAAGTTCAGAACGATCTGCCATTAAAATTATGGAATTTTTGCCAAGTGCTAAAAGGGGTGAGTGATCATGGGTATTTAAAACAAACTTAATATGCCTCTAGACAGGCTTGCAAAGTATGTGTATGTTATATATGTTATTTTTAAACTTTACTACTTCTATACATAAAAATACCCAGTAATTAACCCGTGTTCACATCTCTATTTTCATTCTTCCCTTTAATAAATGTTGCACAATAATGCTTAAGTCAGCAGCTTATTAAAAGTATTGCTAGTGAAGTATGTCTGTTGTTTTTTTGTTTGTTTTTTTTTTTTATCAGAACTTCAGGTTATTTCCATTACATGCAAGACTTTTGAGATAAATCCAATGTCTGTGAGGTAAAATGCTTGTTGGCTTAAAAATGTGTATCACAGAGATGGCTGGTGATAATATCTGCAGCTCATGCAGCTAAAATTTCTCACTTTGGAGCACAGGTTGCCACGACGGTCTCCATTCTGATTTGAATGGCTGCAGTGTGCAGCAGATGTGTAGCTGGGGGGTAGTCAAAGATGGCCCATGTCTGTCAAATTGTCATATTTCCATGCTTTAACCAGCATCTGCTAGCATACACCTTGAGAGCCTTTGGCAAGCAAAGCAGGTGGTTCAGCTTTGCTCTGGGCCAAAGGCAGAAAGGACTGTCCTGACCAGCCTGAGGCTCTGGGTAAGGACTGCCGTGTTGTGAGTCCTTGCCAGGCTGGTAGTATTGTGCCAGGGAGTTTGGTGCAAAGTACTTGGCCTAGATATTGGGAGTTCAACTGCTACTACTTTTACACCTTTTTTTTTTAAAAAAAAAAAAGAAAGGGAATTTCAGAGCTTTTATTGGACTCTGACGTTTCTACTCACCCTGGTTGTTTCATACCATGGAAGACAACAGTTCAACTTAGCAAAATTATTTCATTTTTGTTTTAGTGCTTTGATCTGTACTCCCTTGCTTCACTACTTTACAAAACCACCATTTTAATGAGTGCTTTAAGGAGGCAGTTTTGAAAAATAGTGACTACAACCAAGAAGACATTTATAGCTATTCTTTGCTATTCTCATGCCTATTCCTTTCAATAGAAAAGACTCGGCATTCTATTTCATGATTGCAAATTAGGGTTAGAGGAAGGGAAGAAGCTTGAGTGAAATATTTTTTCTCCAAGTGACTTGTATTTAGAGACTGTAAGATCTGTCAGCTATCACAGTTCAACATAAAACAGATATCAGAGCTAAGATACTATATTCATTTCCAACTCAGCTGTTGTGAAGAGGAATTGTGCACTGTGTCTGATAACACCGGGGGTTCTGTTTGAGAGGGGACATAGAAAGATCCATTTGAAATGACAGCTATTGTACTTCATTTATTATATCTGAGATACTTTCAGAACAGAGCTGTGGCTTGTAAGGAAGTAACCCATAGGAGAGTTTGTGTGCTTGAAGGTTTGTCTTTTTTTTCTTTTTCCCTAATTACTTCTGGGTCTATAAAAAGATATTCCAGGCTTTGTAACCTCTCCTTTCAGGACAGAGTTGCTTTCAAAGCGAACAACTTTTTGGATGTTGTCTTGTTGTGGATGAGTAGGGTAGTCAGGAGAGAAAACTCCCCTTCTTCCCTGTAACTGCTGTGTGTGTCTAATGACCTCTTCTTGTAACGACACAGAACTGGCTTTTTATTGCCGTGTCTCTACCTCCCATATTCTGCCTGTTAGTAATTTTCCAGAGGTGGCTGTGAAAGTTCTAACTTCTTTTAACACAAATGAATGGAGAGACAACATTATGACATTCCCATGCAACAAACATTGCTCCCCAGTAAGAGGATAGTGTTACTAAATTGCTTCAGCATGC